GGGACACCCTGTACCCTGTAGACTTTTCAATTGGATTAAGATGACTGATTTGAAATCTGAATAAATCATATTTTTATAAATATTTCTGTTAAAGTACGTTGCTATGTTTCATAAAAAAGGAATATATATAAAATTTAAATCTTTATCGAAGATTAAATGCTGAAGATTGCTGCAAAGCATGAAATGACTAAAAATATATATTTTCTGAGCTTACTTTAGTTATATATACGTAATACGTATACATATTTATATATATGAATTTTATAAATGAACTCTATAAACATGAGTGTTGAGCTAGTAATTATGTAAAAAATTGAAAAAATATTCCAAATTAAAAACAAGAAATTGTCTTTTAAGATCCCAATAATTGCTGGAAATATTTTATTTAAATATTTGAAAATGAATCTGTAAGTCTAGTTGATGTTTGTTTAATGCCCCAAAGGGCCCTGGCATTCCCTGATTTTTATTTTACCATTTTATTTGCAATTCAAATGTCAGTCTTAATACCTACGGCTACAGAAGAATGAGAGATCGTGGAAATGTAACTTTGATAATATCTGCGCTGTAAACAAAAATTTAACAAAAATTAAACAAAAAATGAAAAAATGTGAAAAAAGTAATTAAAAACAGAACAAAAACCAAACAAAAATTAAAAAAAGTAAACAAAAAGTGAAAAAAACGTGAAAAAAGTAATTAAAAAGAAAACAAAAAGTAAATAAAAACTACAAAAAGTTAACAAAAAATAAAAAAGTGATCAAAAAGTACAAAAATAGTAAAAAAGTAAAAAAAATATCAAAAAGATCTTTTCGAAGAACCCTTTACCCTGTACCACAAACCTGACAGTTGGTGAATAGTTTTGAATGTCTCCTTCCAAGATATAAGATATAAAAGACTTTTTATAGTTTATTTTGTTTTAAAACTTAACAAATTATGGAAGAAGACATTTTAAACCACTCACCAACTGTCATGTTTCGTGTATCTTTTCCTTTTTTCCTGTGACATGCAATTACTCCACTAAAATCAACACTTCCTCATTCTGTTTTTCCTTTTCCCTCTCATCTCTAGCCTCATTTTCACACACAAGTTATCTTCCTTATATCATCCTAATTTGCTTTAATTTTTTGTATTTTTTTGTGTAGGGCCTATAATTTAAAACAGCCCCTAACGGCTGGCCTGGATTCTGGCCAATGTATTGTATGTATGTATCTATATAATGATAAAAAAGGTTTTCTTAGTCGAAAAAAAAAATTTTACTTTAAACAAAAAAATTTATATTGCGACGTGTTCAAAGTCAAAGTTCGCCAAAATTTACTAGTTTTCAGTATCTCTGAAATATTGAGACCTTAGTGCACCAGTCATTCAAGTTTTTATATACATTAAGCAGATTCCAGTGTTTAGACATTCCTTTCTTTTCTCTAAAATCAGATAGTTATTCATTAATTTGATTTTATAAATTCTTCTATTTTTTAGCAGGTTCTGAAAATCTTTAAAGGAATTGAGTTTTTGTCACGAACTATGATTTTCTAATCTCTATATCTTTGTAATCCAATGCCGTAGAAGACCTTAGATATTTCAAAATATGAATTCTGTTAGATGAAAAAATCTAAGTTTGAAATATCAAAGGTTTACACCATCAGGTGGAAAAATATAGGCATTAGAAAATCAGAGTTTGTTACAAGTTCTCAATTCCTTTAAAGAACAAATATTGTTTAGGTCTTGAATTTCAATGAGATTGTTAACATTTGGTCATATAAATTTCACTTATAAGTTTTAATAAATTCATTTATGATATCAAGGAATTTAACTTAGTTTTACAAAAATTGGAAAATTTCTTGTTTTAAGTTCTGAAGCTATGAATGATCACATGCTTTTTTGCCGTATAACATTTTTCTTCTCCTTTTTTTAGGGGGGGGGGGGGCAGGGGGCATTGTTTTAGGAAACCCTTTATTTATAGATAGATAAATCTCGATACATTTTTTTTTATTTTAATTTTGTAAAAAAAACCAGGATAAAAGCAGAAAACCAATTATCGGATCCTAATTTACTAGGTTTATTAGTCACGCAACAAGTCAGATTATATTACCAGCAAATATAACATTTTAAGTACAAGCACCTATTTTAACATTTTCTAGAAGAATTCAAAAGAAAAAAAATATTTCTGTTTTAATTTCTATAATTTATCTATACATAAATTTGGCTTATCTGTCTGTTTGTTTGTATCCTATAAATGTCAAAAATGCTGAACCAATCGGGCCCAATTTTTTTGTTGGATCTCACGTGACCCAAGGAAGGTTTATAAATGATCAAAATTTTAAAAATATGTGCAAAAAGTTTTTTTTTTGTAAAAAAATTTAAAATCTTAAAAATCCAAAAATCTTTTTTTTTAAAAACCGCGAAATTTGCTTTCCTTTGTTTTTCAACGTTTTTCAACGTTAAACATGTTCACAACTGAAAAGGAAGATGGGCGCGAAGTGCCCTTAAAAGCCTAGTTTAATTATAAAATTGTCTATCCAGGTAACTTGATGTTTAAAGATTTTTATTTTTTTAAAATGAGCATGATGTTGTAAAGTGAGCATGATGTTGTAAAGTGAGCATGATGTTGTAAAGTGAGCATGATGTTGTAAAGTGAGCATGATGTTGTAAAGTGAGCATGATGTTGTAAAGTGAGCATGATATTGTAAAATGAGCATGATGCTGTAAAGTGGTTTAAAACTAGCTTTCTGATGGTTATCATATTCCATGTAGATCTATATAAAAATATAATTTTGTCTAACTAATAGTTTTATTATACCAATTATAAATTACAAAACATAACATTTTTTGGAGTATAATTTTGATATTGACACCTGACTCTACAAGAAACAATGTCTTTCTATTTCCTAGCTCAAATTACTCCGAAAACCGCTTACACCAACATTCTTTAGATTAAATAATGATCGCTCAACATCATCCCAAGTCTATGGTGATAGATGTAACGATCCAAAAAATCCAAAATGATTGATTTTTTCGAAATGTTTTCATAAGCATTTTTGATAAATGAATTTGATTTTTGCACTACGGTTCGTGATCACCTTAAATATATGGCAAACTTTCATGTTTTAAATTTATAGATTAAAAAGGACATAACCTATTTTAAAATTGTAAACCTATTAACAATGAAACTGGTTCAAATTAGTACACCATATTAAAGGGAGTAACCGGCTCTGTAAGGTAGTTGAACTGAGTATGCAGTGTTGTGGAAAATTTCTTTCGGATTCATTTGAGACATATTAAACTTTTTAAGATCTGTAAATCCTGAGTTTGAGTGCAAATTCGTCGTTCAAAACTCCTACTTTGGGGGTGGATACGTTTTCAAAAGACTACAGAGGCACTTGAAATTACGTTTATAGTCAATCTAATTGACCCAGCAAAACAATCTAATATATAAATGTCCTGGAAGTATTATAATTTAAACGATGAATATAAATCTATTGATTTGCTTTAATGTGCAGTGAACCAACGTATATTTGACTTTTTGCTGAATCAAATATTTACAATTTATATTTAAAAACCAAAAAGAATTTATTCAAAATTTTAAAATGATCCTTGATTAATCCGGGATATTTAGCAAAACAAGTAATAAAATGTTGGTGTCATACATCATAAATCAATATAAATATAAAAAATATAAGAATTAAATACAAAATGTATATAAAGAGTGTACCAAAAAAAACTTTGCATTAGGGGTAATAGCCAATGGGTACTGAAGGATTAATATTTATAGACAGACAGATAATTTGACAGATCTAAAGAAAAACAGATATTTTGATAGATCTAAGAGCAGGCGGATAATTTGACAGATCTAAAACAGGCGGAAAATTGGACAGATCTAAAGACATATACGTGTAATTTGACAGCTCTAAAAACAGGTGGATAAATTGACAGATTTAAAAACAGGTGGATAATTTGACAGATCTAAAGACAGGCGGATACATTGACAACTCTAAAGACAGGCGGATACATTGACAGCTCTAAATACAGATGGTTAAATTGACAGATCTAAAAACAGGCGGATAATTTGACAGATCTAAAAACAGGCGGATAATTTACAGATCTAAAAACAGGCGGATAAATTGACAGATCCAAAGATTAACAGAAACAAAAAACCACAATTGAAATTTATCCATTCTAAAAAAAGCGTATGGATATCTTTTGCATTGCTGATTAGTTTTCAAGGGTAAGGTTGTTAATCTGACATGTCATCCTATAAACGGAGAGTCACTTGATATAACGTACACTACAGCCCCTTTAAGCCCATTTCGTGGTGATAGATCTGAAATATTAAAACCGAAAGTTCAAAAAATTTGAAAAATACAGGGAAAAGAATTCAAGGAATGCAAAACGAAACAAACAATTAATAAGTAAGAGAGGTTCGTGAACAGAACATTTTTATAAGATGACAAGAACTTGAAAAAATAGTATTAGGAGCAAAACCAACCAACCGAACACTAAGAGATTCTTTATATTTCAAATGATGTAACACAACATGAACATGATAAACATGGACCAATTCGTAAAACAACATGAACATGATAAACATGGACCAATTCGTAAAACTATCATCATTGAATTCACACAAACTCTCATGTTCTAATCCCATATCTTTAGAACCTGATGTCGTAGACTTCAGCTATATTAAACTATGAATTCTGTTAAATCAAATAATCTAAATATGATATATCTAAGGTTTTTGCTATCATGGAGCAAAGATGTAGGTATTTTAAAATTTGAATTTGTGGCAAAGACTCAAATCCTTTGTACAAGGTCAATGAATCATGAATTATGTCTTTTTATTCATTTTATCCCGACAAACACAAAAACTGTTTTAAAGAAACAAATTACACAAAAAACTTTACCACTGTAAATTTTATATTTGTGAGAAATTATTTTTTTGACTGGACGTGAGTTGAAATTTGAAATCAGTCTCTTTAAAATATGAAATTTGTCCATAAAGCACTTACACTGGGAGGTAGCATCGTGTTCACTCTACTGTAACACTTCTAAACTCCAACTAAAACCATAGAAGAACTTTAACCAAACAACATAAAGGTCAACACAATGATAGATAGATAGTTCTGGAGAGTTGTACTGACCAATAAGGCGGTGGGATTAGGGGTTTAAAGAATATAGGAAACTTTGGTGAGTCCATATAGATGTTTCTAGAACGATGAAGATAGAACTAGAGATGGGCGCGTTCGGCTTTTTTTCATTTCCTTTGGTTCATCGTTCATAAACGGCTCATTTCGTTTGGTTTTTGTTTCAATCGTTCAAAAAATAATTGATTTTGTTCGATCTCAAAATTATCGTTCATTTTCCCTCTATTTCGTTTATTTTGTCACTTAACGATCGTTCAGGAAAACACGGAATCCACGAAGCCCACGAATTATTTCAATACGCTTAGATCTTGATATTCAGGGTTACCAACAAAGGATGAGTATTTCAGAAAGAGGCCTGATGCAACCTGATGAGTGATGGTGTATACCTCTTATCTCTATCTAAACTTTGATTGTCTGGGTGTTCTAGAAGTGTTTAAATATTTCATGAACCTGGTCGGTTTGTTCTTTATGAATCTCGTTGGTATGTACTTTATGAACATCGTGAACTTCATGAACCTAGTTGGTTTGTACTTTATGAACTTCGTAGGTTTGTACTTTATGAACCTAGTTGGTTTGTACTTTATGAACCTCGTTGGTTTGTACTTTACGAACTTTATTGGTTTGTTTCTGAGTAAATAATTCTACTAAATACTTAATAAATCTTTAATTTTGTGAAACTGGTCTGTTTACTCTGCCCCATTGCTTTCATTCATGCTCAAATATAACTTTTTAAAATTTATAACTTGATTATAAAAGTCGTCTTCCTAGTTCCGAGTTTTCTGGTAATCACTGTTGTATAAACTATTCATTCAAGCCTGCTGAATTACTGCTGCCAATATTCAAGGGTATAGAGTCGAGGTTTTGTGACATTTAAACTTTTCATTGCAATCAAATATATCTAAATAATTGAATCAATTCTCAGTAATTCTTAAAGGGACTGTTAAGGTGAAATGAAAGGGGGTATAGGATGAAGCCTAAAAATTTTAGTTTTATTTTATGTCCCTTTCTTGAGAAATTGATAAAATTGTATGACAAAGTTATACATAACTGATATATGATTTAGGATCTTAAACTAGTTTCCTCGTTCTAGATACCAGGTTCCTACAAGTGTCATATGTCCTAGGTTTACATATCAGGCTGTTTCACAAGGTTCGTTCTTCAGTTTTGGGGTTCTAATGACCCGGTTCCGAGTTCTTTCTACCAGTTTCTAGATTCTAGGTATATGAGTCAAAGTGATAAACAGATGATATTCTGCAGATAAGAAACGAATTTGAAAATAACAATAACCCCTGAAGTTCCTAGAAATCTTTGGCACACACCTATTTTAATTTGAATGTTATAACTTTTCAATTTTAGGTTTCTTTTAACATTATACATTGTACTTTTGATGAATAATTCAGAGATTTTTTCTAAGGAGAGACACCTGTCAGCCAAAAAAATTGACATCGAAAATACATCGTATACTAGATAAAAGGTGAGGGAGTAGGGAGATGGGGTGGGGTTGTATACTAGATAAATTCGGAAGATTTGGAGAGAGTTAGCTAAAGGTAGAAGATGTAATTTAGTTGTAAACGGACAAATGGATATGAAACATCTATGCTGAACATGCATCCGATCAATTCGATCAATTTCAATCTATTCATTGATTAAAAAACTGGTGTTTTGATGTGAGTGAGAATTAATTTGAGACTCAAAGTTTAAAAAAGATGGGTAAACAATTGTGCAGTAATAGATTATTTTTGAAATCAGGTAATTTTTTATTCGGTATACGCTTTTTAGGCACATAATGTGTATACAGTGATACCCATAACACTGTGAAATACTAAGACGACTTTGAGACTCAAGTTGTGATTTAATATATCGTGAAAATTGCAAAACAACGAATATGAGACTAAGCAATTGTGCACAATAATCTCACAAGAAGTAAATTATACATTTGGTGTATCTGTCTCGTTTTAATCATCTATGTACTGTATTTATACAGTTATACTGTACAACTTGTTATAGCTTCCTTAAAGACAGTCTGGAACTTCAAATAAACGGTTTATTTTACAATGACTACACAGTTCCAATTCACTTAATAATTAGATTTTCAACCCACAAATAAACCTTTTTGCTGTTTAAAAAGATCAAATGCACATAAGATTGCTTTATTCCACTGAACAAAAGATGTCTTGAAGATCAAATACACATAAGATTGCTCTATTCCACTGAACAAAAGATGTCTTGAAGATCAAATGCACATAAGATTGCTCTATTTCACTGAACAAAAGATGTCTTGAAGATCAAATAAGATTGCTCTATTCCACTGAACAAAAGATGTCTTGAAGATCAAATACACATAAGATTGCTCTATTCCACTGAACAAAAGATGTCTTGAAGATTAAATACACATAAGATAAGATTTCTCTATTCCACTGAACAAAAGATATTTTGAAGATCAAATGCACATAAGATTGCTCTATTCGACTGAAAAAAAGATGTCTTGAAGATCAAATGCACATAAGATTGCTCTATTCCACTATACAAAAGATGTCTTGAAGATCAAATGCACACAAGATTGCTCTATTCCACTGTACAAAAGATGTCTTGAAGATCAAATACACACAAGATTGCTCTATTCCACTGTACAAAAAATGTCTTGAAGATTAAAAATTATTTGCATAAAAGTTTAAAACGTTTTTTCTCCACTTTGCAAATAGAAACATAAGTAAACTAACTGAAGTGCCCGGCGTTACCCCTGAAATAAAAAATAATCGAATTTTGTAGAAGAAAAAAGTTTTAATGGGGATCCATGGGGATCCTAAAACATTTCAGCAAATTTGGGTCAACCGTTTGTCAAGCTTTAGCTAACTTTAGCGAAGAAGTATTATATGGATGTTACTATACTATCAAATATACTCTGGTCGATAAGAAACGTTCCTGTCACTCTATGATTTGCATTTGCTCTTCTTAGTTTTACGTTCACATTCCCTTTAACATTTTCTTAATTTTACGTTAACACTCCCTTTAAAATTTTCTTAGTTTTACGTTAACACTCCCTTTAGCATTTTCTTAATTTTACGTTCACACTCCATTTAACATTTTCTTAATTTTACGTTAACACTCCCTTTAACATTTTCTTAATTTTACGTTCACATTCCCTTTAAAAATTTTTTAATTTTACTTCACATTCCCTTTAACATTTTCTTAATTTTACGTTCACATTCCCTTTAAAATTTTCTTAATTTACGTTCACATTCCCTTTAACATTTTCTAGCAATCTCTTTCTTTTTGAAATCTATTTATAAATAAGTCGTAACCATCTGTATATTATTCTCTGATTTGAAAAAAATGAATTATTAAAAATTGAAAATATAAAATTCATCTTTATCATTAGTTACAAAAAATCAACATACCTACAAGCAAACTTTTGAGGTATTTAACCATGTTAATTTTGAAAATTTTATCTTTGGAATAATAATCAAATAATCAAATAATCTAAATTTGAAATATTAAAGGCGTGCATCATCAGGTTGCAAAGATATTGGGATCCGAAGATTTGAGTTTGTGGCAAAAACTCAATTCCTTTATTTTTAAATGTAAAATAAAACTTGAAAATATTGTTTTCTTTGGTTTTATGTCAAATAAGGATATAAAAGACGTACATAATCAACAATTAATTTTTCCCTTACAACGTGAAAGGTTTAAAGGAAAAATGGCGTGTTCAACTAATTAAATAGTAAAATAAAATCAATTATTGATTTGACAAAGAATATTTGGAACTGTAAAAAGAAAGAATTTTCTTGCATCAAATTCAAATTTATGCCAAATTCCCCGGCCACCAACTTAAATACGCAAATAGGAATTCAATATTTTCGCAAATTGGCATTTTGTTCAATTTCTTGTTAAAAAAAGAAAAGTAATAATATATTTTTATATTACAGTACACAATATACAATATACAGTATATTTACTAATTTTAAAGAGATTTGTCATAAATTTTAATTTGATTTCATTAGACATTAGAAATTTCGCGCCGCCCACGTTTCCTGATTTATTAATTTGATTTGTTGGTTTATTCAGCAAAAATATTGAAAATTATATAGCAGTACAGGAAAAAAGATAAATATAATTATAATATCATATTATAATATCATAATATCTGGAACTGTAGTTCGATCTTTTCTTCAAAAACTAATGCAAACTTTTATTAAAGAGATGCAAAAAGCTTCATCAACAACTTTGGATGGTAAAAAATATTAAAAACTTTTTCTAATTTGTTTAATTACTTTGTTCGGGTGAGCCAAATTAGCTTAGACATACCTCAAATTGTGAAAGAAGTTAAATAAGGGAAGTTAAATAATTTAACGTCCCTCTGATGGGGGAATCATAGGTCGGTTATGTTTGAAGTTATTGCCCTACTCCATAAGGGTCTCTCAAACCCGTATCAATCCAAGTACAACTCAATCCCTCTCGTTGGTCTACGAGGTTCAAGAGCTGATCAGTTAAACAAACTCTTCACTAGCAATGCCAAACAAGGGCACGATCTTGAGCTATCAATGTAAAACACTGACATGATCTCGTAAACTATCAATGCCAAACAAGGACACAATCTCGAGCTATCACTGTCACACACGGACACAATCTCGTAAACTATCACTGCCAAACAAGGACACAATCTTGAGCTATCACTGTCACACACGGACACAATCTCGTAAACTATCAATGTTTCAACTCAGACACAATCTCATCAACTTGTTCGCTTGACAAGGAACGATTATTTCTCTCACTGTAATCTAAGTGGAGTATCTTCCAATTAAATATATTTGTGTTTTCTATGTTACAAGTGATGTTAATCGACGTAATGTCAAGTTTTATGTAGATATATATTCAACATAACTAAGCTAATCATGATATGTAGTTTTCTACGGCGCAGTTAAGATAAATCATGATGTGGGTTTTACGTAGCTATTTATAACGTAGATAATTAATAATCTACAGCGTAATTCAGGTTTACGGATGTAGTGTTACACAATATTTATTACATGTTTGATAAAAAGGCGGTAATAATTGTTTACAACCACTCTACAGGGAAGTTAGAGGGATTTTATTTTACCAAGGGTTCCCAAGACGAATGTTGCTTACATCATATCTAGAGCGTATCGGGTGAACCCGCGGTTAAGTAAAACTTTTAATTTCCCAAAAAAGTAGTGTATTGTAAACAATTTATTGTCTGTTGAGATGAAATGCGATTTTTTTTAACAAGAACTTCGCAGAGCGGGTCGTTATTTTGCTTAATTGTCCCAAGGGACATTAAGTAACTTAAAGCCCCTCTGTTGGAAATCATTGGTCGGAAATGTTGGTCAAAACTCAAAAGGCGGTAAAAATAACATAAGGCTTTAACGTCTGCGAAGCTAGTATACCATGGATTTCAGGCATATATTTTTCAATAGAAAATTAATTATTTTCCATTGTTAGGATGGATTCTGGGCTAGGGCTTTCTATGCTAGCTCTCTTTAAGGTAATAGTTTACAAATATAAAGTAAACAGACAAAACATAAACAAACAAAGTTTATGCACCCCACTAGGGAAAATAGCAATAGCCAGGTTCGTTTTACAAAAACTTTTAATGTTTTTAGACTTAAAAAAGGTTTTACGATAATCTGAGAAGGGTCCAACGATTTAAATTTTTATTTGCTTTTATCAAACATGCAAATTTATTACCTTAGAAGAAAATATAAGGAAAAAACGATCGTCATTAACACCATAGTTTTTGGTTAGTTTTTGCCTTATATTTTCATCTAGTATATCAAATTTGCATGTTTGATAAATCAAACTTCTACAGAATACAATTCTAAATCCTTGGATCCTTCTCAGATTATCGTAAAACCTTTTATAAGTCTAAAAATGTTAAAAGTTTCGGTAAAACGAACCTGGCTTTTACACATCCCTACACACAACATTCAAACAAACAATATTTATACAAAATAAATGTAAATAAACAAACAATATTTACACAAACTAAATGTAAATAAACAAACAAACAACATTTACACAAACTAAATGTAAATAAACAAACAAACAATATTTACACAAACTACATGTAAATAAACAAAAAAACAACATTTACACAAACTAAATGTAAATGAACAAACAATATTTACACAAACTAAGTGTAAATAAACAAACAAACAACATTTACACAAACTAAATGTAAATAAACAAACAAACAACATTTACACAAACTAAATGTAAATAAACAAGAAACACAATATTTACACAAACTTAATGTAAATAAACAAACAAAACAATATTTACACAAACTAAATGTTAATAAACAAACAAACAATATTTACACAAACTAAATGTAAATAAACAAACAAAACAATATTTACACAAACTAAATACAAACTAAATGTAAATAAAGAAACAAACAACATTTGCACAAACTAAATGTAAATAAACAAACAAACAATATTTACACAAACTAAATGTAAATAAAGAAGCAAACAATATTTACACAAACTAAATGTAAATAAAGAAACAAACAATATTTACACAAACTAAATGTAAACAAACAACATTTACACAAGCTAAATGTTGATAAACAAACAAACAATATTTACACAAGCTAAATGTAAATAAACAAAAAATATTTGCACAAACTAAATGTAAATAAAGAAACAAACAATATTTACACAAACTAAATGTAAATAAACAAACAAACAACATTTACACAAACTAAATGTTAATAAACAAACAAACAATAGAAACAAAAGTAAACAAAAGAAAACTTAACAAAATGAAAACAAACCAAACGTGCACAAACACCATGAAAAAGAACAGAAGCAAAGTTAACAATTAAAATATAGTTTCATAAACAAAATGTAAAAAGAAAGGAAAAAAAACGAAGAAAAGTGCTAATATTAATTAATAAATGTATTTTAAGAAAGGGAAAGCAAAAGCAAATGTTGAAAATAGTATAGTGGTGGTCGGCATCAAGAAAGCGTTACTTTTAGGTAATTATTGTTATTGTCTTTCTCATTATTATCATTATTAATGTTTGTTATAGATTATCGTCATAATTTTTATTATTTTTATATTTTTTGTTTTTTAATTTTTACGGCTGCAAATCCAAGTAAATTTCTCGTAAAAATAAATCTTATATGTTTTTCGTAACTGCTCTTTTAAGGAAAATACTTCTTAATTTCTAATGTAGCAGTAGCACCTACATATAAGTTTACTTCATTCAATCTCACCGTAAATCAAGTCTACAGGATCTACTAATTCTCAAATTTATACCATTAAATACCTTAAAATTGGAACTTTTAATTATATCTAAATATAAGAATTACTGACATAATTATGATTTAAGGCCTATTATCGCGTGACCGTGATGAAGAGGGGGAAACAGACGACGACATTACATCGTTGGTGTCGAGTGTTACAGATACAGAAGGAGACAAGCAGAACAGGTTAGAACTAGTTTCACTTACAGATAGGCCTGGACAGTGGCGTTTTTGAAAATTATCTTAAGATTCCGTTAACGTTCGCCGAAACGTCAATTTTTAAATCGTTAACGAACGAAACGAACCGTTTATAAAAAAGTGAACAGAAAACCAAAAAACAACCGAATCTTTTCAAAAACAAAAAATTTCGTTCATTTTAAAATTTAAAATTGCATGAAACACATGAACAATATTTTTAGTGTTTTAAGTGTCGGCTTCTTTATTTTCTAGAAATAAATATAGTAAAATTCTCATTAACGAGGTTCCAACCCGTTAACGGCAACGGTAAATCTCTCGTAATCTTGGTTACAAATCAGATCGTTAACAAACGACGTAAAGCGCCCCAAATCCATTTATAAAAATAATTAATTATGTAGCTGGTAAGCTTAATAAAAAATACTAAAAATTGATGAAAAATATTGTCACTGACATTTGTTTTTTATAAAATCTGTAATGCAACATCATCATGAAATATTTCTAAATTTTGAATTTGGTAAAAATATATAATTAATGAAATAATTATTATTTTATTCAGACACAGTTCCGATATTTGTAGCAGCTCGGTTCAGGGCAACGAGAGCTCAGGTATCCATCTATCCGTATATTTATACATCTATTTTTCTATCTATCTATCTATCTTTCTATGTATCTATATCTATCTTTATCTATCTATACCTATACTATATCCATCTATATTTATCTATTTATACATCTATCTTTCTATCTATCTTTCTATGTATCTATATCTATCTATACCTATATCTCTATCCATCTATATCTATCTATTTATAAATCTAACTTTCTATGTATCTATCTTTATCTATTAATACCTATATCTATATCCATCTATATCTATCTATTTATACATCTATCTTTCTATCTATCTTTATCTATCTATCTATCTATACCTATATCTATAATCTATATCTATCTATATCTATCTATCTATCTATCTATCTATCTATCTATCTATCTATCTATCTATCTATATCTATCAATCTATATTTATCTATATCTATCTATATCTGTCTATATCTATCTATACCTATATTCTATATCCGTCTATATCTATCTATCTATATCTATCTATATCTATCTATATTTATCTATCTATCTATCTATCTATCTATCTATCTATCTATCTATCTATCTATCTATCTATCTTTCTATCTATCTATCTATCTATCTATCTGTCTATCTTTTTTCCTATCTTTTTATCTATCCATATATCTATCTATTTATTTTGTGTTACTTTCTCCTACTATTTGTTTGAAAATACATTTTCATGTTTATTATTATGTCGATCGATGATGGTTTCTTATTTTCATGAATACAAACATGAAATTATTTCAAATTTTTCAGGATTAAAGCTTTACAGAAAATATAAATTCATGAATTCCTATCTTTTTAAGAACGCTTACATAACCGTTTAAGAAGTTTAAGTATTGTTGTACAATTTTATTCAATCTGTATCTTATGAATCCTTATAACTCAATACTCTAAAAAGATACACATTTTAATATAAAAAAATTTGAAATTACTTAACATTTTGGTTGAAAGTCAAAATTCAGGAATCACTATCTAGAAAAATGTTTGACTGTCAAGGTCTAAAAATTCACTATCTAGGAATAATGTTTGGTTGAAAGACAAGGTCCAGGAATCAATATCTAGAAATAACGTTTGGTTGAAAGTCAAGGTCCAGGAATCAATATCTAGGAATAATGTTTGGTTGAAAGTCAAGGTCCAGGAATCACTATCTAGGAATAATGTTTGGTTGACAGTCAAGGTCCAGGAATCAATATCTAGGAATAATGTTTGGTTGAAAGTCAAGGTCCAGTAATCAATATCTAGTAATAATGTTTGGTTGAAAGTCAAGGTCCAGGAATCACTATCTAGGAATAATGTTTGGTTGAAAGTCAAGGTCCAGGAATCACTATCTAGGAGTAATGTTTGGTTGACAGTCAAGGTCCAGGAATCAATATCTAGGAATAACGTTTTGTTGAAAGTAAAGGTGCAGGAATCGCTAGCTAGGAATAATGTTTGGTTGAAAGTCAAGGTGCAGGAATCACTATCTAGGAATAATGTTTGGTTGAAAGTCAAGGTCCAGGAATCACTATCTAGGAATAATGTTTGGTTGACAGTCAAGGTCCAGGAATCACTACATAAAACTAATGTTTGGTTGAAAGTCAAGGTGCAGGAATCACTATCTAGGAATAATATTTGGTTGAAAGTCAAGGTGCAGGAATCACTATCAAGGAATAATATTTGGTTGAAAGTCAAGGTGCAGGAATCACTATCTAGGACTAATATTTGGTTGAAAGTCAAGGTCCAGGAATCGCTAGCTAGGAATAACGTTTGGTTGAAAGTCAAGGTGCAGGAATCACTACATAGGAATAATGTTTGGTTGAATGAAAGTCAAGGGCATGGAATCACTATCTAGGAATAATTCCTAAAACTCCTGAAGCGTATTCAGTTTCATCTTTTATATCTTTCTCATCATCCTTTTCTTTATTCCTTTCTCTGCTCTTCTTTCTCTTCTTCTCCTTCCCTTCCTCCTTCTCTCTTCTCTCCGCCTCTTCCTTCTCCTCCTTCTCGGCATTCTCCTTCTTCCTAGAACAGAACAGAATAAGAACAAGAACGTTTCCATTGTATTTATTCTTAACATTAAAATTGAAGTCTCCACTCTTCGGCCTTCAGTTAAAAACTAAAATTTAAATCTATTAAATATTCAAAAATCTGTTTCATTAATAATGAAAAATAAGTTGTTGTTTTTCTTTAAAAAAAACATTAAAACGTGTCCACTATCCATTAGTCACCGTGACAGAGAAACCACGATAAAGCATGATCAATTCTTAAACAAAAATAATAAGGATATTAGACAATATGGTTTAAATGGTATATATGTGAATCGAACTCACCATATAAAAGAGCCACTTGATATAAAGTTTATTTAAGGTACTAAAGTTTTTTTTCAATTAAGTTGTGGATAATATTTTTCTCAAGTACTTTTCATCAAGAGTATGAATAAAGTATTTAAAGTAGACCTGTACACAATATACGCTTAAGATGTACTCTTGCAAAGATAAAACATATACAACATGAGAAAACCGTTAGTTAGTTTAAATCCAATTTTTTAAAAAACTAATTATCACGAAGGAATGATTTTACAAACTTGCGGATTCATTAAAAAAATCTCAAATCATTATAGTTATACTTTGTAGTTATATTTTGATTTTAAACTTAGTTTTAACACAAGTCTTTGAAATTCTGTAAATTCTGTAAACCGAAGCTAGAAAATCACAATTTTTTAAGAACAAAGAAACATAACATTTAATTTTTTACGGTATACACTCAGGAATGGACATTGTAAATAATAAATGTTTTAAAGTTTGCTGGACCCATCTCTTATTGGTCACAACTTTAGAATTAAAACAAAGAAAATTTCACCTTAGACACTTAACTAACGCGTAGATTTAACGATATTAACGAGTTAATTTACTTGATCCAAAAGATTTTGAGCTAAGACTATAAGCAGCTAAGCTCATATATCAAAAGTTTTAATAATTCATAATACCCAGACTTCTCCTGATCTTGCTTCAAAGAAAACTTTCTTGAAATGAAATATTAAATTAAAAATAGAATAAAAAATACGAAATGTAACAAAATGGTGTTTGAGAGATTAGACTGTACTTGTTAAACCATAAATATGAGGTCCCACCTTTTGTATAATTAATGATCTTTAATCATCTTAAAAAAAGTCAAGATAGACTTCAATGTAACGTTTATACTGAAGTTGTTAACTTAATGACCCAAATATAAAGGTTGAATCTTGGTATTATATTTTACAACACAATGAAAGAAAAACATGAATTGAGATTAAACAATAAAAGATGATTTGAAAAATTCTCAATGAATCGTAAGATGTTTTTTTTTTATCTTTTCATTGGAATTAAAAGTAATATTCTAAACCAAGTTAAAGGATTAACACTGAAAAATATTTTTAATTTTGAGTAATGTTTTGTAAAATCAATGCTAAGGAATTTAAACTTAAGTTCCTGCAAAAAAGTTGTGTGACACAACTATTTTGTTGCGTTAGAAAATTAAATTTTGTCGAAACTTTTGTGTGAAATACCGTTAATCTTGAACGCTTGATGTCGATATCCAATGCAGGCTCTTTGAGGATAAATGCTTGAATCCTTAATTCAAGTTATCCCTGCAGGGTAAAACCACCACGAGATATCCCTGCAGGGTAAAACCACCACTAGATATCCCTGCTCCACCAGATATCCCTGCAGGATAAAACCACCACGAGATATCCCTGCAGGGTAAAACCACCACGAGATATCCCTGCAGGGTAGAACCACCACGAGATATCCCTGCAGGCTAAAACCACCACGAGATATCCCTGCAGTGTAAAACCACCACGAGATATCCCTGCAGGGTAAAACCATCACGAGATATCCCTGCAGGGTAAAACCACTACGAGATATCCCTGCAGGGTAAAACCACCACGAGATATCCCTGCAGGGTAAAACCACCACGAGATATCCCTGCAGGGTAAAACCACCACGAGATATCCCTGCAGGGTAAAAACCACCATGAGATATCCCTGCAGGGTAAAACCACCACGAGATATCCCTGCATTGTAAAACCACCACGAGATATCCCTGCAGTGTAAATCCACCACGAGATATCCCTGCAGTATAAAACCACCTGAGATATCGAAGAGATATTAAATTAATAAATGACTTCCTTGCGAGATACAATGATACACATTAAAACTTTATCTAGGCCTATTTGCAAGAATGTGTCGAATCATAGTTAACATTTTATGCAAATTTGAAAATATTCTATTGGAATGTTTCTTCTGACGGATATCAATTTAGTTTAAACAGGTTTGTTGTAAATATCGAATATCTTTAGATATTTTTACCAAACATTTTTACCGGAAGGGGAAACCAGTTTTTCGATAATTCAAAGGGTTAAAAAGAATTGAAAAGTAGTTAAAGGAAAGGTGGATGTAATATTAAGTCATCCGGTCACCCCCCCCCCTTCCCCCATAAAGAAGTTGCGGGCCTGTTTCACAGCTTTATTTTTTAAGCCTTTATTTGAGAAACAGTTGGAAGAATATCGTTGATTTTTTTAATCTTAAAAAGTGTTGATATCTGTCAAAGCATTCAATTCAAAGCTATTTATTTTTCAGTTAGAAAAAACCAACGAGGTTATAGTGTATAGAGTGATGATGTATGCCATGAACTTTACCGAGAGCGTACTGCATATTTGTTGATTATAAGGAGATTCTGGCCTAACCTATAGCAAGAAATATATAGACCAGGAACCGCCATATCTGATGCGTCAAATCTGTGTACTGCACTGGGAGGAGATCAAAACAAAGAATTCAGGGGCAACGCATCATTTTTGAGGGAAAAGGGGTGGAATAAGAATATATTGCTATTGTATTTTCCATATTGACCAAATACAAAAATGTAATAAGTATTCGCTCTAACTTGAATATTAACTTGTTTTTTGTTGGACTGTAATATCACATCAGAGCTTTAGTCCTTTCCCTTCAGGCTTCAACTTCT